AGACAATGTAATAGAGCAGCAGGAAATGCTAGCAGAATGCTTGGTTGTATAGGGAGAGGTATTAGCAGTAGAAAGAGGGAAGTGCTCATGCCATTGTACAGAACACTGGTGAGACCTCACTTGGAGTATTGTACACAGTACTGGAGACCGTATCTTCAGAAGGATATTGATACCTTAGAGAGGGTTCAGAGAAGGGCTACTAAACTGGTTCATGGATTGCGGGATAAAACTTACCAGGAAAGGTTAAAGGATCTTAACATGTATAGCTTGGAGGAAAGACGAGACAGGGGGGATATGATAGAAACATTTAAATATATAAAGGGAATCAACACAGTAAAGGAGGAGACTATATTTAAAAGAAGAAAAACTACCACAACAAGAGGACATAGTCTTAAATTAGAGGGACAAAGGTTTAAAAATAATATCAGGAAGTATTACTTTACTGAGAGGGTAGTGGATGCATGGAATAGCCTTCCAGCTGAAGTGGTAGAGGTCAACACAGTAAAGGAGTTTAAGCATGCGTGGGATAGGCATAAGGCTATCCTAACTATAAGATAAGACTAAGGACTAATGAAAGTATTTAGAAAATTGGGCAGACTACATGGGCCGAATGGTTCTTATCGTATCTGTTTCTATGTTTCCTAACAAATACAATGTAATAAAATCAAATCATGGCACAGAAAGTCAATTGAAGAAAACAAATACAAAAAAAGAAAATGTACTAAAGCATCCGGGTCCTACTCTGGTGCCTATAAGTCAGTGCTTGTGTAGCATAAAACTCATAAGGCATAGGACCAGGGTGTTTTATGCACATTTAATTTTTTATGTTATATTTTATTTCTTCAATGCATTATTTCTGCGCCACTGATTGATTTTATTACATCAAAAATTAAAGGAAGAACTTTATCGTGAAGGTTATTTTTGTTTGGAGTATATAATTAAATACCTACTGCTGTGCCTTCTGGCTTACCTGACTTTCTGTCCATGTATATTTCAGTAAGGGTAAGTACACCTAATTTCCTTATTCAGAGTGTTCCTCTACAAGCCTGTGATTTGTTGCCCTGTGCATGCTACAACTCTAACAGTTTAACTAAACCGATATAGTCTCAACCTCGAAAACATTGAATTGTATTTGTAGCGGAGCGCTAGTTTAACATAGATTTTCTCCGCTGGTAGATTTTCATCGCCGGTGCGTTCGTATGGCAAGATGGCCGCTGCCACGTGTTCGCATGTCGAACGGCGCCCACCCAGGGAATACACAGTGCGTTCATATGATTTTCAATCAGGCTAGTGTGATTAACAATAGGGAGGTAAATTAGAGCCACGATCCTCTCTGGGGTGGTCTGTTGTTCGGTAGTTTGTTCGTTTGTCGAACGGTGATATTTAACATGTTGGCCAGTGGATTCTTACCGAACAACCAGACGAATACTTCAACAGCTCACTGATTACTTTTTGTCTTAAAGTAACGAATCATAGGGAATTGAACATAATGTTGCAACAATAAACGTTAACGCCAAAATTAAGGACGATGGATGGTAGCCAAACACAATCCGCTACAGGGATTCCCTGCTCCCTTCATCACAAGGCAGAAATAGTTTTTATATATATATATATTGTGATCTTTGTCTGCAGGTAGCACGGTCCTCTAGAGCAAAAACATGCACAGTCTTTCAATGCAACTTCATTCCAGGCACTTTATTTGTAAGTTTACATATGAGGCAGCAGCAAATGAAAACATAAATATAACAGGTTTCCCTTTAACCCCTTAGCGACTGAGGACGGTTCAGGACCGTCATCGGCATTTTTGCCTTGCCGACCGATGACGGTCCTGAACCGTCCTAACGGTCTGAGTTACTTACCTGATCGCCGTCGTTCCCCCGGCGGCGATCAGCGTTGCTCCGGTTGTGGGGAGACTGCCTGCAGCCCAGACAGTCTCCCCACACTGAATTAGGACCCCTGTGGCCATGTGACCGCTTAACACAGCGATCACATGGTCACAATAGGTGTCCATGTGTCTGCCTGCAGGGGGACTGTCTGTGCTGACAGGCAGTCTCCCTGCTAGTGTAAAATCAGTAAAAAAAAAAATAAAGTTAATGTTAATAAAAAAAAATAATTATATATATATAATGTCATACTAAGTGTAATTTAATTTTTATATTAATATGTACTTATATTATTATATAAAAATACACTTATAATTAAGTTACACACGTATATATATAATATATATATAATAACTATATATATTGTATATATATATATATATTATTATAAAATATAAATAAGTAATTTAAATTAAATACTTTTTTTAAATAATAAAAATTAAAAAAAATATATATATCTATATGAAATTTTATTCTAACTGTATTTTAAAATTAATATATATATATATTTATATCAAAATACACTTAGAATGAATTTGTATATATATCTATGTAAATAAAAATAAATAAAAATAATAAGAAATATACATATGTCCATATACAAAATTACATAAATAATTATATAAATATACACGTAGACTTCAAATATATAAATATGCATATATATTTAAATTCTAAGTGCGTATTTATGTAATATTTTTACATAATTCAGTAATTTTATTGATTGCAATTTGAGGGACCTGCCTGCCAACCCAGGCCGAAATTCCAGAGAATTTAATTTGCTAGCACTGTATTTTACCCTGTAACGTTCTACGACACCCTAAAACCTGTACATGGGGGGTACTGTTTTACTCGGGAGACTTCGCTGAACACAAATATTAGTGATTCAAAACAGTAAAACATATCACAACGATGATATTGTCAGTGAAAGTGACTTTTTTTGCATTTTTCACACACAAACAGCACTTTTACTGATGATATAATTGTTGTGATACGTTTTCCAGTTATTAAACACTAATATTTGTGTTCAGCGAAGTCTCCTGAGTAAGACAGTACCCCCCATGTACAGGTTTTATAGCATTTTTGAAAGTTACAAGGTCAAATATATGGGTCAAATATTTTTACATTGAAAATGGCCAGGTTGGTTGCGTTGCCTTTGAGAGCGTATGGTAGCCCAGGAATGAGAATTACCCCCATGATGGCATACTATTTGCAAAAGAAGACAACCCAAGGTATTGCAAATGGGGTATGTCCAGTCTTTTTTAGTAACCACTTGGTCACAAACACTGGCCAAAATTAGCGTTCAATTTAGTTTTTTTTACTTTTTTCACACACAAACAAATATGAATGCTTACTTTGGCCAGTGTTTTCGACTAAGTGGCTACTAAAAAAGACTGGACATACCCCATATTGAATACCCTGGGTTGTCTACTTTAAAAAAAATATGTACATGTGGGGTGTTATTCAGAGATTTATGACAGATAATAGTGTTACAATGTCACTATTGATAAATTTTAAAAATGTATGTTTTGAAACCGCAATATCCTACTTGTACCTATAGCCCTATAACATGCAAAAAAAAGCAAAAAAGCATGTAAACACGGGGTATTTTTAAACTCAGGACAAAATTTTGAATCTATTTAGCAGTTTTTTTCCATTCGCTTTTGTAGATGAGTAAAAGATTTTTCAAGTAAAAGTCAAAAAACATGTATTTTTTTCAATTTTTCATCATTTTTTTTATTTTTTTTAAATTAAAATACATGAGATTATATAAATAATGGTATGTAAAGAAAGCCCCTTTTGTCCTGAAAAAAACCAATATATAATTTGTATGGGAACAGTAAATGAGAGAGTGGAAAATTCCAGCCAAACACAAACACCACAAAAGTGTAAAAATATGCCTGGTCGCAAATGTACAACATCGCAAAAACAGTCCAGTCCTTAAGGGGTTAAACAAAAACCTAGCTCGTCTGAGCACTGACTCACTTTGTATATCCCTCTCTATCAGAGTTAAACTAACAAAAACATATTGCACCAACCTTATTAGATAGCAACACTCTGCTAGCTAGCCTGTTGCTTTCCTTTCTGCACTCCCAGTGCTCCAAGCCAGCCTTGCCCTGACTGCTTTCCTTTCTGCACTCCCAGAGCTCCAAGCCAGCCTTGACTGCTTCCTCATGCACTCCCAGTGCTCCAAGCCAGCCTTGCTCTGACTGCTTTCCTTTCTGCACTCCTAGTGCTCCAAGCCAGCCTTGACTGCTTCCTCCTGCACTCCCAGTGCTCCAAGCCAGCCTTGACTGCTTCCTTTCTGCACTCCCAGTGCCTAGTCTCCTTGACTCTCTATCTGGAGAGAACAGCCTCTCTCCTACCTGCTTCCTCGGAGGAAGCCAGCAATCCCTCTCCTTTTCCTGCCTAGCCGGGAGGGGTTTATTCCCACTGCAACAGCTCATTAACTGCAGCTGAGCAGTGGGTTGGAGACGGTCCAAAAAACCCTGGCTTGGATCTATGTCTCCCCAGAAAAACACTAAACTGTGGAGTGGAGCATTGGCCCACCCTTCTCTCCAAATGCTCCACCCCAGGGGCCCATAACTAAACAATGCTTTGTGTTGTGCAACACACAAACTACACATACTTCCCCTAGGGTTAAAAGGCCTATCTGCCTTCACTTTATCACAATATATATATATATATATATATATATATATATATTTATAAATAAAAATAGTAGAAATCCTTGCACTCTGGCCAAACTTGCAGATTAATGTCGGGTGCAAACTGTGGCTTGAAATATACAGAGTAGAGTTTGTAGTCAGCTGCACTCACGGTCTTTCTTAAAATTCTTTCTTTATTAGGTCAGATTAAAAACGATCAACGTTTCAGTCCATGTACTGGACTTTCTTCAGGATCTTTAACAATGCGAAAGTTTGTAGAAATAAATCACGTTCCAGCACCGAAAAGAGGAGGTGACCGGGGCAGATTGCTTCTTAATAGAAAAGCGTTCTGGATACATGAGTAACAGACTGTATCCCCCAAAGAACTCAATGAAATAATACCCTATTATTCTTTCCTTTTTTAATCCTTTTTATATGTGTATAGTCTAGTACAGGGGTAGGCAACCTTCGGCACTCCAGATGTTGTGGACTACATCCCCCATAATGCTGGCAAAGCAACATGGGAGGTGTAGTCCAAAACATCTGCAGTGCCGAAGGTTGCCTATGCCTGGTCTAGTATGTATAGCACTTTATATGGTTCTTAGCACTTTAATAATACGTGGCACTTTAATAAGATGTGACACTTTAATAATATGTGGCACTTTATAGATACATGGCACTTTGTCACTTTGATATTTTCACTGCACATTTTTTATTCATATATTATAAAACACTTTGGAAGAGACACACTTTACTCCACTGTCCACTTTTCTCAGTGTGTTAGCCAGAACAGGCTATTGATTCATTCAACTCTATTGTATTTCGTCAGTTAACTAAACTTTACATCTTCACAGTAAGTGTCCAGCACAGACTGCACTTTTAATTCACGTTCTTCACGCTTGCTTCCCACAAGCAAACGGCACGTCACTACGGCAACAATTTGGTGAATAACGTTGCTAAGACAACGCGTGTAATGTAATCACGCACTCACGACATGCGCATGGGAACCGGCAGAACGTGGCCGATCATTCACAGCACCTGGGGTAACTAATTTCGCTTAATTGTAGTGTGCATATATTTGTTTGCAATGTTATGTCTCATTTAGGTTGATCCTGAAGAAAGTCCAGAACATGGGCTGAAACGTTGATCGTTTTTTAAACTGAAAGGGGGGTAAGGCCATACATTTTGAGATGGTGTGCAACAATGACCATGCTGCTGCTATGCTTTGCCAAAGCCTCCAGTGAGAAAGTCCAAAATTTGGGGAATGCCCTTGAGGAATGTAGTCTAAAGTCTGAAGGAGGGTCTATGATGACATCTCTGTGGATTTTCCCCACAGGCAGTCAGGATGATCTAAATTGATGGGGAAATGCTGCTCTTTAGATGTCAATATAAGACATGCGCAGTGCTTGCCTCTATGGGCTTAATATTCAATCTGATCTAATAGGCAATCCTAGCAGGTGGTCCTTGGGTCTCCTGTATCCATTCCTTCTTGGTCTGGCTTAACATCCAGCTTCAGTTCTGTCCTATATTTTTCTTTAGCTTGGATAATTTATTTGTGAGATTGTTATCCAATATGCACAATCACAACACTACTAAAGGGTTCCCCATAATACAGAACTGTGCGATCCCCATTCTTTTCCAGTGCAAAATCTACAAAACCTAACCTATTGATGGTGCCTTAGAGTCTCTGAATTCGTTTCCTGAGTATCCACTGCATTTGTATTCAACATTTTACATTAAATTGAAAGCTGGTCAGCTAACCAAAACATTTTCTTTAAAATAATGATTTGTGATATATACATATATATTACCTTCCAAACTCCAATCAATAGGCCAGGATGTAGATGGTGGACATTAATATGATGGTCATAACCAATAATTTTGCTTGATTTCAAGTCAGTTATATCATATTCAGCAATAAGCGAGAATCTCTGAGGTCTACTTTACAAAACATAGAAAAGCATAAAAATAGCAATCAGTATAAAAAACAAATCACAGAAGATTAATTTTAAAAACAATTAACAATTAAGACAATTCAACCCTTCTCCAAAGAAAAATATTAAAATAAATAATGATGGTTTTCAGTAAATAGTCTCAAACTGCCAGTGCAATTATCTTATCTGAAGCGCCTGCTTTTTGATCTATTACACAAACAAGGTCTGTGTATTTAATACCCTGGAAATAACTAAAGAGTTACTCCAAACAAAAATGTTTTTATAAAATTTTTTATATCAAGTAATCTTTGCTGGAATTGTTCCTTGTTCCCCTACAACAGCAATGTTGTTGGAATGCAGGAGTGTATTTGAGTGCAGCGTATGTATGTGCAGTGTTCGCATTGGAATGCTGGGATAATGCATTGCCACACGCATAGATACACACTTACACATATATATATACACACACACACACACACACAATCAGAAACACACACACACACACACGCAGGTACAAATACACATTGACACACAAGTACACATATACAAACACAGGTATACTTTCACACAGATACACATATACGCTGATGTACATATACAAACAGGCAGACACACACACACACTGACACAAACACAGTCAGATACACACAGCTAGATACACACAAAGCCAGATACACACTGACACAAACACAGCCAGATATACACACACACACAGACAAATTCACACACCACAGCCATATGCGCGCGCACACACACGCATAGTCAGTCAGATACACACACACATATAGCCAGATGCACTGTCTTAGACCCTGGTACACACACATATATCAATTTACATCATATTTTAGCCACCATCCTGCCTCCTTATCTTTTGGTTACAGAAGGTCGGCTTCCCTGGGGTCCAGTGGGAGTTGGATGGGCAAGGCTGATGGGAGTCTGACTTCCTCAGTCCCTCTCCTCCTCCTGTGTATGCCTCCTACACCTGCCCAGTGGCACTCTGTTGCTTGGGAGGCAACATGAAAGGGACCCGGTCCAGAGCACTTTTAATGGTCCGGGAGCCCCTGATTACATCAGGTGCCGCAGCCCCCAGTGTTTGGACGACGGCAGTGGGCCTAAGGGGCAGTTACTTTGAGCCCCCAAGGAGTAACTGGGCCCAGGGCAGCAGCCCCGTTTGACCCCCTTAAAAGACAGGCCTGGGAAACAATGTCAACATACAGTTGCAATTAAAATTATTCAACCCCTATCGAAAATCAGGTTTATAAAGACTTTTAGCTGTTGCAACAAACAAAAATAAAAAATGTCTCAACACAACAAATGCTTCAAGTGGTTTCCCCAAATGTAACTGAAGATGCAATTTATAATGACTTCTCCAGTCTCAAAATTATTCTGATTTTCATTGGGGGTTGAATAATTTTGATGGCAACTGTATTTTCCGGCGTATAAGACGACTGGGCTTACAAGACGACCCCCAACTTTTCCAGTTAAAATATAGAGTTTGGGATATACTCGCCGTATAAGACTACCCCTCTTCCAATGCACACCAAATAAAAATTAGCCATGATGTACAGTGAGCAGACAGAGCTACACAGCAAAACATTAAAGGACCACTATAGTGCCAGGAAAACATACTCTGTTTCCTGGCACTATAGTGCCCTGAGGGTGCCCCCACCCTCAGGGTCCCCCTCCCGCCCGGCTCTGGGGAGAGGAAAGGGGTAAAAACTTACCTTTTTCCAGCGCTGGGCGGGGAGCTCTCCTCCTCCGATCCTCCTCCGTTCCTCCCATTTGGCTGAATGCGCACAATGCTTTCCTATGGACGGTTACGTGAAAATCACAGTGAGAATCACGCAAGCGCCTCTAGCGGCTGTCAATGAGACAGCCACTAGAGGAATTGGAGGAAGGATTAACCCATTTGTAAACATAGCAGTTTTTCTGAAACTGCTATGTTTATAAAAAAAAATGGGTTAATCCTAGCTGGACCTGGCACCCAGACCACTTCATTAAGCTGAAGTGGTCTGGGTGCCTAGAGTGGTCCTTTAAATAATGATAATCTGAAATAGCATTTAAAGCCCAGGTATGTGTCAGGCTGTTTGGGCATATAATCCATGCCTGCTGGTCTAGCACACAGGAGGCTAATTGCAATATATTCTTTTTACTCCCCCCTCCATTCTTTTTAATCCCCCCATTCTTTTTAATCATTCTTTTTAATCCCCCCTCCATTCCTTTTTTTATTCTCCCCCTCCATTCTTTTTTCCATTTTTTTTACTCACCCCCAATTTTTTACTCCCCCCTCATTCTTTTAATCCCCTTTTTTAATCCTCCATTCTTTTTTAATTCCCCATTCTTTTTAATCCCCTCCATTCTTTTTAATCCCCCTCCATTCTTTTTAATCCCCCTCCATTTTTTTACTCCATTCCCCCAATTTTTTTACATTTTTTAATCCCTCCATTCTTTTTAATCCCTCCTCCATTCTTTTTTACTCCCCCAATTTCTTTACCCTCCATTTTTACCCACCCACCCCCACCTCCATTTTTTACCCCCCCCTTCATATTTTACTCCCCCACCCATTCTTTATCCCACCCACCCTCCATTCTTTTTTTACCCTCCATTTTTTTACTCCCCCCACCCTCCATTCTTTTTACTCCCCCACAGTCCATTCTTTTTACTCCCCCATCCTCCATTTGTTTTATCCCCCCACCTCCATTCTTTTTACCCCCCACCCTCCATTTTTGTATCCTCCCACCCCACCCTCCATTCTTTACTCCCCCCACCCTCACCCTCCATTCTTTTACCTCCACCCTCCATTTTTTTACCCCCCTCCATTCTTTTTAATCCCCCCTCCCTCCTTCTCACCTCCCCTTCCCTGTGCAGAGTGGGTGGCCGAGCTCCTCTTCGTCCTGTCGTCAGTGTGCACTTCCTTTCAGTCCGGCCGGGAACAGGTAACTGAATTTCCTGTACCGCGCGGTACCCGGCCGGACTGACAGGACGAAGAGGAGCTCGGCCACCCACTCTGCACAGGGAAGGGGAGGTAAGAGAGGCAGTGCAGCAGCCGTCTGAGCGCTCTCTATAGAGCGCTCAGGCGGCTGCAGCATTAGCATACCCGGCGTATAAGACGACCCCCCACTTTGGAAAAGATTTTCCAGGGGTAAAAAGTCGTTTTATACGCCGGAAAATACGGTAGCTACAAAATACCAGATTTCATCTCAAGTGGCCGAATAATTATAACGTTGGTTACTTGACAATGTTACATTTTCTAATCTTTTTTTTTGAGTGATTACCTCTCTATATTGGTATTGCAAAACTACAATTTTTATTCTACTTGGTTTAACCATGGCAGCCATTTGTGTGTCATGGCACCCAACGTTTTTTGCTATACAGATGTTTACGACAATCTCAAATCTTAGGATGGTCCTAGCTCCTTAGAATAAAAACTGATATCTAGTGCACATTACAAGGTACAAGTACTTGTATAAACAAACATTCTGCATATTTGTAATCCCTAGATTTAGAGCTTAAGTCCTAATGTATATTACAGTGTTTGATTATTGTATTTATTTTATTTTAGGTGGCATCTATATATGCAGAACATTTCAGGTTTGAGACTTCTCTCATTTCTTATTTTA